CACTAGTGCCACCTGGGAAGTTCCCTGGATTAGAGCAGTCGACTCATAATCTCACTGGATTCCTGGATTCTGCTCTGTCCCCCCTGTAATCCTTTCTTTCTCCAAACAGCAGCAGGTGGGATCTTTTCAAACATGTAAATCAGATGTTGCTACTGCTCTAGTTAAAGGCTTTCAATGTCTTCCTAGGCTATTCCTCTTTACCATAGCCTGAGGCCGACTCTCTCCCTTTCTTCCACTGTGACCTCAAATCTTCCACTTTCTTCTTCTGTTTTATGTAAAGGTTTATTGATTTAATTTATTGACTGTGCTAGGTCTTCATTGCTGCTCACGGGCTTTTCTCTAGTTGCCACGGGCAGGAGCTACTCTCTAGTTACAGTGCATGGGCTTCTCATGGCAGGGCTTTTCTTGTGCAGTAAGGGCTCTAGGCGCACAGGCTTCAGTTGGTTATGGTGAATGCACTCAGTAGTTGTGACTCGCAGGCTCTAAAGAACAGGCTCAATAGCTGCAGCGCACGAGTTCAGCTGTTCCTTGGCATGTGCGATCTTTCCAGACCAGGGATCAAACCTGTGTCCCCTGCTTTGGCAGGCGGATTCTCAACCACTGGGCCACCAGGGAAGTCCTACCACTTCCTTCTTTACTCACTGTGCTTCTTTCACACTTGTTCCCTTTGTGTTCCTTGAAGACCCCATGCCAGAGTCTTTGCATTTGCTGTTTCTTTTGCATGAAATACCTTTCCCCTCTCCCCTTTGCCTCTTTTTGGGACTTTCTCTTTCTCATCGTTCATGTCTCAGCTGAAATTTCCACTCTGTGGAAAGGTTTCCCCCCCGACCACTCACACCATATCTAAAATTACTATTTTATTACCTCTTTATTTCCCTTAGAAAACTTACCACATTGTGTTCTTATCGTGGTCATTTGTTTATTTGCCTATCATCACTCTCTTCCGGCTTCAAGAGGGCAGAGATCACCCTTGTCATGTTATGACTTTGTGCCCTGTGTTTAGAACAGTGCCCGAGACATGATAACCTCTCAACAGATATTTACTGAATGGATATTTATCAATGAATAATGAAGCCATTCTCTCCAAGTCCTGACCCTCTATCTCTACTATCTCTTGAATCTGCTTCTACCATCCATATAAACCACTGGCCTGGTTCCGGCTCCATCAACTCCAACCTGGATTTCTGTGACAATTTCTGACCCAATGGGTCTCCATGTCTCTCTTTTCCTGTCACCATTCTTCACATACTAGTTCTTTTTTTTAAATTTATTTTTAATTGAAGGATAATTGCTTTCAGTATTGTGTTGGTCTCTGACATACATCAACATGAATCAGCCATAGGTATATATATATGTCCTCTCCCTCTTAACCTCCCTCCTAATACCCACCCCTTCCCACTGCTTCGGGGTCGTCACAGAGCCCTGTTTGAGCTCCCTGAGTGATACAGCAGATTCCCACTGGCTATCTGTCTCACATATGGCAGTGTATATATTTCCATGCTACTCTCTCCATTCATCCCACCCACACACAACAGTTCCAAAAATAAGGTATTAATATGAAAATCCTTGTCAGATCCTGCCTCAGTACTTCAGCAGCCCCAAGCTACTTGCCAGAAAAATTTCTAGTCTCTCAGGTCACTATTCAAGGCACTCAGTACTCTAGCTCCTGCTGCTGGCATCTTTCTGAACTCCCCACCACCATCACACGCATATGACCACAGACACCTGCCTACAGTCCCCTAACAAGTCAGGGCGTTTTACAAGTTCTCTTTGTGAGGCATTCCCACTTCCTAAATTCCTCCTCCTCTGCCCCCATCCACCTAACCCTGCTAGAATACAGCTTAGTCACTCCAGCCCTCTGGAAACCAGCTCTTAGCAGTGTACCCCTTCTCAGGACTTGTCTACCCTCCTACTGATCCATACCTCTCCAAGGCAGGGCCGAGGCTTTTGAGCAGCCTGGTCACACAATGTTGCCAAAAGACATAATTTAGTAGAGAGCACAGACTCTGGAGTCAGGTGAGGTTTGAATCCTTGGGCCACCACTTATCTGTCAAGTGACCTTAAACAGGTCCAAGCTTTGGATTCTTTTTTTTTTTGGTCTGTGATGCATCTGTTGCTATGTTGCTTGTCTCTAGCTGCAGTGGGTGGGGGCTACTCTCTACTTGCAGTGTGAAGGCTTCTCGTTGTGGTGGCTTCTTTTGTTGCAGAGCACGGGCTCTAGGGTGCAAGGCTTCAGAAGTTGCCACATGGGCTCAGCGGTTGCTGCTCCCACGCTCTAGAGCACAGGCTCAATAGTTGTGGTGCACTGGCTTAGTTGCTCCTTGGCACGAGGGATCTTCTTGGATCAGGGATCAAACCTGTGTCTCCTGCATTGGCAGGCAAATTGTTTACCACTGAGCCACCAGGGAGAAGACTCTTGAGAGTCCCTTGGACTGCACAGAGATCAAACCAGTCCATCATAAAGGAAATCAGTCCTGAATATTCATTGGAAGGACTGATGCTGAAGCTGAAACTCCAATACTTTGCCCACCTGATACGAGGAGCTGATTCACTGGAAAAGATCGTGATGCTGGGAAAGATTGAAGGCAGGAGGAGAAGGGGACGACAGAGGATGAGATGGTTGGGTGGCATCACCAACACAGTGGACATGAGTTTGAGCAAGCTCTGGGAGTTGATGATGGACAGGGAAGCCTGGAGTGCTGCAGTCCATGGGGCGGCAAAGAGCTGGACACGACTGAGCTGAACTGAACTGAGTCACCAGGGAAGCCCCTAAGCTTTGAATTCTTGATCTGTAAAATGAGGATAAAAATTCTATTTCATGGATGGGTACCTACTTTTGTGAGGATTAAATGAAATATATGTGAAGAGTTTAGTACAGTGAGCAGATATCAGAGGTGTCCTAAGTTCTTTTGAGTGAATGGACAAATGCCAGGATGATGTATTGGAAAACATATCACTTCAGAGGCACTCAATAAACTTTGTTGATCAAATGGCACACATGCAAAGCAGACTCCATTCCTTCCAAGGCCCTAGATTTTCAATGACATCCCACTGCCCTGAGGTTAAAATATAGTCTTTCTGACACCTTCAAGGTCCTCATTGTATGGAGCTCTGTCTTCTTCTCCAGCCTGGTCTCCCTACACACACACACACAGAGTTTCTTGCCTCCATACCATTGCTCACATTGTACCCTCTGCCTGGAATGCCTGTTCTGTCTCAGTTTTGGTGCCCTTCCTCTATGCATTTACCCTCACATTTAACACATAGTTTCCTCTCTTTACATGCCTTTCTCTTCTGATAAAGGACAAGGACACTTGATCCTTTAGTGTGGGGCCTGACAAATAAAATATTCGTGTTGAAAGAATATGTGTAGTGTGGAGGCAACAACTAGAGGGACAGCATAGGCTGGATGGGGAAAAACTGAGACCAAAGTGGTGATCAGTGGCTCACTCTCAGTAGCAACAGAGATCACTGAATTTCAGAACTGACCTCACTCCCACTCCACCCCCACCATGAGTTGCTTCTATGCAACCACATGAATTCCCCAGGGTCTCTGATCTCAGGCAGGTGGAACCTGAGTTTATAGATACACGATCTTCTGAGTCCTCAGGCATTGGGTACACCAGCTGCACAGTTCTGCAGGTTGAGGGACTTATACCATGTGGTGGCTTTAAGAGGTTGTTGCCAAGTACACTGACTTTCTCAGTTTCCCCAAGCTGGATTTTCTTTATCCCTTTAGATAAAGGAACCCAGGCACAGGTATGAAGAAAAAGTATGACCCCTATCTTCCTTCCCCTTGGTCCTGGAGCTCCAGGCTGCCCTTTTCCATGCTGGCTGGAAGTGACTTGGAAGTGTGAGGGCCAGCAAAAGGCAGTGAAACGGGAGCTGGGTCAACTGGTACAGCTGCTGCTGTGGCAGCCAGAGCCAAAGGAGGTCACCATTGATTCCACCCGCACTTAACTCTTCCTGCAGAGGCATAAGGTACTGGAGGTTGGGATATATAGCCAGTCACCTTTTCTCTGTAGACCTCTGTTTCTCTAAGTGTCAAGTGAGGGCACAAGGTCTAACTAACACCATTATCCTTACATTTCACTTCCCAGCAAGGTTGTCAAGGCTGCAAGATTCACTGCTGGATGGGGGTGGGGGGACCCCTCAGATACAGGAATTAGAGAGGTGGACAGTTCTGAGCAATGCCCAGCGAGGGCAGAACACTGAGACCTCCACCCCCAAAAGAACGCGGGAGTCCAGACTCCCAGCCCCAGGTTTGGGATCCGAGCTCCAGGCGCCGCCCTGCCAGGAGATGCCGGGGAGGAGGACCAGGTCGTTGCCACTACCCCAGGGTCAGGGAGGAAAGAAGGAATCTCTTGATTGCCCCCATTTCTGGGCCGTCCAGGCCGGTTAGCCCAGTCTGGCAACCGCAGCCCACTCGGTCAGGAGATCTCGAAGGCAGGAGCAGTCAGCACCTCGGGGGCTCGCTTGGTCTTGCCCCACCCCGGCCCCGCCCTCGGACCCCGCCCTCGGACCCCGCCCGTTCCCCTCGCCTCCGCCTCTGGCCGGAAGCCCCCTCCCCCTCTCCCTCCCCCAGCCGGTCCCCCGCACCCCTTATTCCTTTCCAGTCCCTGTCCTTCCGCGGGTCAGGGAAACCTCTCTCCGCCCGGGCCCCTCAGTCTTCCTCCAGCTCGGGTTCCTCCATCCAAGTCCCAAGCCCCCGCCGGGCCCCGCCCAGGCTCCTCCCTCGGCCCGGCCCCGGTCCCAGTTTCCCGCCCAGACCGGGGCCTTCAGGCCCCTTTAGTCCCCTCCCCGGACCCCGCCCCCGGCCCCCGGAAGCCTCTCCCCGCCCTCGGCCCCGCCCCCCCGAAGTTTCTTGGGCCCCCGGCAGCCAGCGGGACAGAACGCTCAGAGCCGCCGCCCGGCCGGCGGTTGATGGAGGTATTGGAGACCGCGCGGCGCCGGGAGTGAGCGGCCGAGCGGTCGAGCAGCCGGACCTCAGCGGACGCGTCATGGAAGAGGAGGTGAGGGCCAGGCCAGTCGGGGGGCCTGGTCTGGGGTCTTTGAGACTCTTGTGGCGGTTGGGGTCCCTGGCTCAGGCCCTTGTTCCAGCCAGCCCCTCTCCTGCGGCGGGTCTCCGGACACCCCCACCCAACCCTGTCCACCCCAATCCCCCAGGCAGAGCCTAGGCCCGATGAGATGAGGCAGGAGCGGGAGTAAGGGATCGCAGACCCATTCTCCTTCATTATTTCTGTCTTCTCCCACCAACTGTGGTCCTGGTGGTGGTGGTTGTTCCCATTGGACAGATTGGGAGACTGAGGCTCCGGTGGGTTTGATGACTTGCTGAAAGTAGCCTGAGTCGCTGGGCTCGAACCTTTGTTATCACGGACTCCCTGTGCTGTCCACGTCGGATCCTAAAAGGGCACAGTGTGTGTGTGTGTGTGTGTGTGTGTGTGTGTGTGTGTGTGCGTGTGTGTGTGTGCGTGCGTGTGTGTGTGTTGTGGTGGGTCTGTGGGTTCTTTAGTCCTTGTCTCAAGGAATCTTGAGGCTGTGGCCCTGTCTGGTGGCTGGAGGACAGGAGAAGTTGCGTTTTCTCCTCTAAATCCCTGTAGGTCCTTTATCCCTGGTGGGTCCAGCTTCTTCCCTGACTAGGTGTCAGGCCCTGATCAGGGCTGATCCCTGCCCCTGCCATCCTCACATCCCTGGAGGGCTGATTCCCTGGAGGAGCTGGGCAGCTGGACCAGCAGTGGTCCTTGAGCCTCGCTCATTCCCCTCAGGACCTTCACGGTCTGGAGTGTGGTCAAGCCCTCTGTGACCCCCGCCCTTTACTTGCAAACTCAGTTCTCTCAGTAGCCCCCTCTTCCAGGCACACTGCCAGCACTTAACGTGTGACTGTGGAATGAATAAACTAGGGAGGAGCCTGCTGAGACTAGAGGATTTTGCTTCTGGTCCCCCAAGGGGGTCTCAGCTTCTGCCCCTCCCAAACTGAGGGGAGGGGCTGTGTCTTTGCCTGAATAGGTGGGGAGGAAAGATGAAACTTCACTCTTGGGGCAACCCTGGCCAGCTGGGGACCAGACTGCCTGTGTCCCCATCCGTGCTCATTTCCTTGCTTCCTGGGACCACTTTTCAGGAGCAGCTGGGGTATCTGTCTGAGTTCCCTCAGGCCAGGCCCTGCACTTCTGTGGGATGGTAGATAAGTCACTTCCCCTCTAAGCCTGCATTTCCTCTTCTATAAAATATTGGGCCTGGTCTCCTCCCCAGGTCTTGATTGTAGCCCCTTCTCTCAGAGTGGGTGGAAATAGGGGCACAGTCAGGTCACTATGATTTGCTGTGGTTTCTTGTGGACAGGGGTGGGGCTCTCTTACCCTTGTGAGGGTTGGGCTTCTTCTCTTCCTCTCCTCTTCTCCCAGAGGATGTGGGACAGGACTACTCGATCTCCGATCTGCTCTGGCCACCGCACTCCCCTCAATTAAGGGAAGTTCTCCTGGGGCCTCCTCGTCCAATGGCTTGTCTGGTGGTCAACCCAGCCCTCTATTCCTCTGGTCTTGAATCTCTAACATTGCCATTTCCTAACTCCCAGATACCAAAAACTCCCTGCATACCTAGGGTATCTAAGGCCTTGCCCACTACCTCCCTACATGGCCAGGGGCTCCCTGTTCTCTACCCTTCCTTTGGCATCCCTCTTTTCCTCTCATTTCTTCTCCCCACCACTTCCTCTTCTTTCTCCATGCCTCAGCACCCATCCTGCTTTTTCTTAAACCCTGCATAGATTGTAGTCACCTTCTCTGCCCCATGACCCCCGGCTGGGCTCCTCACCTCACTCCCAAATGACTGCCTTTAGTTCTCCCCCTAGCTTTGAACTTCCTTCCCAGGCACACTGGTGCCAAGCCCCGTCAGTGACCTCCTCCGTATAATAGGTTGGTAGTTTCATCAGGCCAAGGTTTGGTGCGGAAGTGCAGGTCTGGGCACCAGGCATCTGTCCATCTGTGTTCTCAGGGCCACAGTTTCCCCATCTGTAAAATGAAGGAGGTGGGCAGTCCAGAGATGTGATGGTTTATGTGCAAAAGCTTTGAAAGCTGCAGTAATCAGTGTGAGGTTATTGTTGCAACTGGACTCAGGCTTTCCTGTCTCCGCCCTGGGGTTCTGCCCCCTCCTCTCAGTCATGCCTTTCCCTGGCTTGGCCTCCAGTGGCACCAGGCTGCTCCTTTGCCCTACCCATCTAGAGAGAGGCAGAGCAGTGGCCTGTCCCAATACGGGTTTTGGGACCTTAAGCTAATCTTCGACTCTTTCTGGCCTGCACTTTCTCATCCTGTAGTGAAGGGGTTGAGAATGTTGAGTCTTTAATGCCCTTCTCTGGGCCAAGATATGTGTCTCCTTTCTCACAATCCTACCAAAACCCTTCCTTCTGCAAGGGCTTCCCAAACTAACCCTACCAGAGAGCCAAGACTGGGTACCCGTCTGGGTAGGTTCTAGAGCCCTTCCAATGGACTGGGATCCTCTCAAGCAGAGGATGCCCACCCAGCCCCCAGACTGGGGATTTCCCTCGTGCGGGGTCTGTGTTGCGCCCATCGGACTGGAAGTTCCCCACGCAGAGCCTGTGCTTCCTCTCTCTGATTGCCCCATCACAGGGCTGTGACATGGTGGGTTCTTAGCAGAGTTTGGTCAGAGCATCATGGGGTTTAGTCCAGTCCAAGAGCAAAGGTCATTATCCTAAGCTTTCTGTGATGTGAGGTGCCAGCAAGTTCTTTTCTGCTGGTCTGTCTCTCCCTGTAATGGAGCCCTTTCTGTGCCCAGGGGTGGGTTGACCTGGTATCTTTTTCTTTTTCTTTCTTTTTTTTAAACAAATGACCCAGAGACCCTCCCCTTTCAGGCAAAGCAGAGCCAGGCTGGTGCCCAGGGGTTCCTCAGAAGCTGCTCACGGTGGGCCTGGGGAGGGGCTTGAGTGAAGGTGGGTGGGAGAAGAGAGGGCGAAACAGGAAGAAGAGTGGTCAGCTGGTCAATGAGAGGGGAGGAGGCCGAGAAACTGGGGTGAGCAGGACAAAACCTCCCCTCTGAGCCCTACCAAAGGGAGGGGCCGCTTATTAAAACTTACTGGGGCATACATAGCCAGCCTCCTGGTGAGAGAGTGTCTGAGGGGCAGGGAGAGGGACTGGGTGAAGGGTGGCAGGACTCTGACCTCCAGCCAGGCCTGTCTGCTGGCGGCTGCTGTGACTGATTCCTGGCCAGGAGACCCTCCCATGGGCTTGGGTTTGTGCCACCTCCAGTCCCTCAGTTGTCACCCCCATCCCCAAGTGCCTTGTCTCAGCCCCAGGCTGATATCTACATCCCCAAAGGCTCCGGACTTGCTTCTGGCTCAATCATGGCAGTCACTGGGTACTGCTCTGCTACTCGCAGAGAGGATGCATCAGGACACAAGCTTCCAGCCTTGCCCCCGGGAGCTTCCAGCTGGCAGGAAGTTTTCACATCTCGGGCTGTGGGTGAGGCAGGCAGGAGAGGTCACAAGTAGAGGGGCTGTGAGATCCCATGGGGTCGTGGGTGGGACCCTGGAAACAGGAGGCGAGCTTGGAGCTCAGAGGTGGGAGATCTGGGCCACTGTTCTGCAGTCTTCTGTAAGAGAAGCCTAAGTCTGCAGGTGGGGTGGGGGTGAGGGGGGTGGCCAGCTGCTGTAGTTACTAATGGAGCGGTGTGATGTGTCAAATGTGGGGGTGGGATTTCCCTTGTCCCACTTTTTCCCCTCCAGCCCTGGGCCTAGGCCAGGTTGCAGGGGTCCCTGAGTGGAGGAGCCCCAGTGGGTCACACAGCCCATAGGGCTGAACACAAGTGATGACAGTGTGAGGCTTTGGGTGCATAGTAGGATGCTAGAGCCCCCGCCTTCTTGTCAGAGGGCCCCGAAGTCCCTTCTTCTGATCAGGGTGGCTCATAACTAGCCTGTCAGCAGGCCTCTCACTTCCTCATTCTCCATCCGGGAACACCATTTGGGACCATTCCACTTCTCCATTTCTCTTGCCATCTATAAGTTAGGGAGAGATCTTTAGGGGGGCACCTCATATTCCCGGAGCTCCTGGGGGCATTGAAGCCCAGCAGCTGAGCCCAGATAGGTCTTGTCTTGAATTCTGAACCAGGCCCATGGACAGGGTCCCTGAGAGGCAGAGGGAAAGGCAGTGACGACAGTAACAATGATAGCTGTCATTGACTAAGTTTAGGGGGTCCTAGGCATTTCTTTATATGTTGTATCTTTTTATTTAGCAACAAACATTTATTGAGCACCTACTGTGTGCCAGACACTGTCTAACCACTGGGGATACAACAGTAAACAAAACAAAAATCCCCGGCCTTACAGAGTTATAGTCCTTGCAACTTCTGTCAGTATCATCACATCACTGATGAAGAAACTGAGGCTCAGAGAGATCATGTGACTTGCCTCTGGTCTGTGTGACTTGGGCTTCAAAGCTCAGACTCCTGACCATTGGAGTGTGCAGTGCAGTGGGGGAGGGGGACACAGTAAGGACCAGACTGGGGGTTCCGTGCTGTGATGGAGCTCAGGGAGGCCATGCCCTGCCTCACCCCTGACTCTTCTGTCTGGACTTGTCCTTCTAAAAGCATCTGTGGCCACAGGATATCTCTGGGGAGAGATGTGCTCCTTTTAACTGGAGTCCCCCTTTTTAAGCTTTATGTAAATTATAAAGTAGTCAAAATTAGTCAGTGCTGATTTCCTTCTAGCATCCTGTAGATTCTGACATGCTCTTAGCCCCTTCTTCTCCACCCTCCCCTTCACACTCAGCACTGTGGGTACCAGTCATTGAAGCAAAGTGGTTAGCAAACTGGGTGTATTTTTATTTTCATTTCACAGGTCTTTCTCAAGCACTCATTATGTGTAAAGAAACAGTAATGGGTGCTGGGTACTAAATGTGAATTTGACCCCACCTGGTTGTCATATTGGAGAAGGCAATGGCACCCCACTCCAGTACTCTTGCCTGGAAAATCCCATGGACGGAGGAGCCTGGTGGGCTGCAGTCCATGGGGTCTCGAAGAGCTGGACACGACTGAGTGACTTCACTTTTACTTTTCACTCTCATGCATTGGAGAAGGAAATTGCAACCCACTCCAGTGTTCTTGCCTGGAGAATCCCAGGGACGGCGGAGCCTGGTGGGCTGCCGTCTATGGGGTTGCACAGAGTCGGACATGACTGAAGCAACTTAGCAGTAGCAGCAGATAGACATATATCTGGCACCCAGCTACCCAGCTGAGTAACCAAGAGACACAAGATGTCAGTGACTGGCCTGAAGGCTTCAGGGTGGCTGCCGTGTCCTCGAGAAGGATTTGAGTTTACCTCCTGTACCTGCCTGTGGTTGAAGGCAGCCCTCGTCAGGTAGGGTGGCTGCACTAAAGTCCTGACCTGGGGCACGGATGAGGGCATTGGAACCTCCTGCTTTGGGGCTGGATGCAGGGGCTGCCGAGAAGGCTCTCTGGAAAGGCAGGGGTGAGGAGGAAGATTACCACTCTGCCTGCCTGCCTCCTGCCATCCTTCTGATCCTGCTTGGACATCCTTTCCTCTGAGAGGCCGTCCTATGCCACCCTGACCTGAACCAGGTCCTCCACTATCCTGTTTCGCTCCCTCCTCTTCACTTCACTTTCACTGATTGCTTCATAGCATTTCACACTTGGTCGTGTGTTTATCTCTGGTGTTTATTTGTTCAGCTCCTCCTTCCCCGCATTGCCAGCTCTGAGAGGGCAGAGATGTGTTATTTTTATTCTTCCCTGCCTACTCCAGCACCCGTGACATTGTGGGTGCTCAATACCACGTGTGTTGATGTGGCTGCATGAATACACAGGAAGCAGAATAGTGGAGGGGAGTGCGAGGTCAGAGGGGCCCAGTGTGAATTGTGATTTTGTCCTTCCACTGGTGTGACTTCGGTAAGTCACCTTCTCTGTTGGAGCTTCAGTCTGCAGTGACATGTGGATGAAGATGCTACCACCTAGGAGCGTAGTTGCCTGGGTTAAATGAGGTGGTCTGTGTAAAACATAATACAGTGACTCAATATAAGGTGCCTGCGGATATTATTGTGGCTGCTGTTATTATTGCCATTTCTGATACTGGATTGAGAATAACTGCCTCAGGGGTTGGGGGGAAATTCGCGCGGGGTGATATCCAGCAGGATATGTCTCTGTGTGGCCTCAGGGCAGCAGCCCTCATGGTGTGTCCGAATGCTCCATTACAGGGTGTGAAGGAGGGGGGCCAGAAGCCTCGGAGCGCGCAGATAGCAGACAAGGCTGGCTGGATCAAGAAGAGCAGTGGGGGCTTCCTAGGGCTCTGGAAGGACCGCTACCTGCTTCTCTGCCAGGCCCAGCTGCTGGTCTACGAGAATGAGGTAAGGACCGGCCTTCTCCTGAGTTTGAGTGTTCTGCGTTGGGGAGTCAAGTGGGGGCAGCCCAGGCCAGAAAGGGATCCTGGACCCGGGACTGGAAGGCCTGTTTCACTTTGGACCTGCTGTGCCACCTTGGGCAAGTACCTGGTTTTCTCTGGGTCTGTGCAGTACAAGGGCGGTACCTCTAGGTGTGAGTGTAGGGCTCCCAGGTGAGGGCTATTTGAGGTGTATGTGGGGAGGGATGCGTGCTTCTCCTCAGCTGGCCACCTACTCTGCAGCTTGCTATCCTGGGGCTAGGTTCCACCTACGTGCAGTTTCCAGAAACCCAAAGCTTGCTCCACTCAGTAATGAGAGTAGAAATAATACTTACTTCTCGTGCTTGTTTGGCGACCTTGCCTACCGCTCTTGGACGATGCTCACGACAGTCCGTGAAGAGCAGCCATCATTTCATATTCTACAGAGGAGGATCCTGAGGCCCAGGGTGGCCAGATCCTCTTCAGCGTCTCAGTGAAATAAGGTCAGGTCTAGACCCAAAGTCAGGGAGCTCTCCATCCAGCTGTGCCAGCAAGTAAACTCTAAAACTTGTTTTTTATGGAAATCCTCTAAAACAAGGGTCCGCAACCTCCAGGTCAAGGACCGGTACCTCTATCGGATCAGCGGCAGCATTAGATTAGAAATAAAGTGTACAATAAATGAAATGTGCTTGAATCACCCCAAAACCATCCTCCCACTCTTGCTCCATGGAAAAATTATCTTCCACAAAATAGTTCCCTGGTGACCAAAAGGTTGGGGACTGCTGCTCTAAAGCATGTTGGATATTCTTGTCTGCCTGCTTCAGCAGAGGATGCTGGCCTAAACAGTCTTCCTTAGTAACTCAGTCACTGGTGAGCCGGCCGTTCCTACTGCCAGCCTGTACTTTTCAGCTTTTCTTTCTCCTTTAACATCAAGCTTCCGGTTGCCTCTTTTGCTGTCCTTGTGCTTCTCATAGTCTCCGCATCTTTCTGCTTCAGACTCGTGCCCCTTTTCATTTTGACAGGCTTGGAATTTAGACAGCACAGCACGTGGAAGTTGTGTGTCGAGTAAGTGTTGATAAAGTTCTGGGTGAAGACCTGAGGCGAAAAGGTGGTCTTTACTTGGGAATGCTCTCTGTGTTCTGGGGTTGAGGCTGTAAGAGGGCTGTCGCTGTGTGCCTCTGACCAATGGGTACGCGGGAAAGAACTGGGCTGGGGGCAGGGGAAGGGGGATCCTGCCTGTTCCCCATCAGCCCTGTTAGCATGCCTCAGGCTGACCTGGTCAATTCGTCCTTGTCCCAGGCCAAGAGAGATCTAGGCATTTAAAGGAGCTGCCTTTGCGATGCACCTCACCTTTCCTGACTGAGTCCCCAGGCTCAAGGATCTGGGGTGTCAGAGAAACAGCCAGAGAAGGCCAAGGGGGTGAATCGTGCAGACAGTCCCCAGGCGTTCTGTACTGCCACCAAATTAGGATATGCTGTGGTGGCAGCAGGGGGCTATTTTTATAAGTAAAGGGGGCTGTCACAGCCTCCTCCAGTCCCAGCTACCATAAGAATTGAGTGACAGGCCCCCAGCTGTCAGCTCGTCAGGTGCCGCCAGCCTTGTCCTGGGCTACCTCTACATCTGGCCACGTCTGGGAAGCAGGAAGGATTTCACATCCCCTAAACACGAAAAGTCTAAATCACGCTTTAAAAAAAAATCACCATTAAAAACCTCAAGGCGGTTTCAAGAACTTAGCACTCGGGGGTGGGGGAGCTTGGCACAGGAGAGGGAATTGAGAAATGTTCAATTCCCCTTTCTGATGTAAGGAACTAGGCGAGTGCGAATGACTCTTGGCTGTTTCTTTGCTGTCAGTGAGGCTGACATTCCAAAAGCGCTGCCCCCGCCCAGTGCCTGCTGGGTTATCCGATTTTTCTGAGCTGCAGAAGGGCCAGATGATTCAGCGATTCAGGTTGAGAGGAGACCCAGGTCAGGCAGCCGTGGGGAACTGGGTGGTGGAGATGGACTGACCTTTTGTTTCCAGACAGAGGAGGGTGTGTTTGGGCCAGTTATCTTCCCAGTGGGGGGAGGCCTGTGCACATGGGGTAGGTGAGGATCTCTCTCTGGGATCGGAGGGCGGGGTGGGTTTCTTCCTGGAGTCTTGCTCTGAGTCAGGCATTCAGTTTAGCAAACTTTTCCTCTGGAGCGCTGTTCCTTAGGAGAAGGCAATGGCAACCCACTCCAGTACTCTTGCCTGGAAAATCCCATGGACGGAGGAGTCTGGTAGGCTGCAGTCCATGGGGTCGCACAGAGTCGGACACGACTGAAGCAACTTAGCAGCAGCAGCAGGAGCTGTTCCTTATAGGGCACTGGCAGGGGAACAGAAAGGAGACACAGGCAACAGAGGTGGAGAGAGGTGTCTCCAGGGAGTTAGGACGTCCTTCCCCGTGACAGCGTGTCCCTAGCGCCTAGTAAGACGCCTGCAGATGGGGAATGTCAGAGGGGAGAGAACACTGAGGCTCAGGCTTGTGTGCGAGAGCAGGGCAGCTTCCTGAGCAGGTGGATTTTACCAGCCTTGTGTTGAGTGCAGACACCTGCAACGGATTGAAGACTAAGGATTGGAAAGAGGTGCAAGGAGGCAGGAATGGGAAAAGATACTTGTTTGAATCTAGATGGGAGAGACAGGTCACTCTAGCTACCTGTTGCCCTTTCTCCAAGGGGATGAAGAGAGAGTAGGTCAGTGGTTACAGACCTTAGCTGTACAGTCATCTGCTTTGGAAAATACTAATGTGTGGGCTCTGTCCTCCAGGGATCCTGATGTAATTTGTCTGGGATATTGCCTGGGCATGGGGATTTTTAAAGCTACCAGGTGCCAAGGTTGAGAATCTCTGGTGTAGGGCAGAGGTTTGCAAGCTTTTGCAAACATCACAGTCACCTCCAGGGCTTGTTAAAACTCAGATTGCTGGCCCATTCCCCCAAGATTATGATTCAGTAGGGTGGGGGCTTGAGGATGAGCATTCTGAGAAGTCCCCAGGCAACGTGACTGCTGCTGGCCCAGGTACCACACCTGGAGGAACACTGGTGCAGAGCAACCTGCTGCTTGGGCCCCTGTCCAGCCTGTGGCTCTGGCTGGAAGGAGTGTGGTGTGCTGAAAGGGCTCTGGCTTGGAAGTCAGAGGATGTGTCTTTCCATTTGGCACTGCTCCTATGTTTGGGTCTATGTGTGTTCAGTTGCCAGTCATGTCTGACTCTTTTGTGATCCTGTGAATTGTCACCTGCCAGGCTCCTCAGTCCATGGGATTTTCCTGGCAAGAATACTGGAGTGGGTTGCCATGTCCTTTTCCAGAGAATTTTCCCGACCCAAGATCAGACCCGCATTTCCTGTGTCTCCTGCATTACAGGTGGATTCTTTACTGCTGAGCCACTGAGGAAGCCCATATTTGGGTCTGTGCCCCAGGGCAGATCCCTTTGCCTCCAGGTGTCATTCTTTTTCTCTATAAAATGAGGCAGATCCTGGGATTCTAGGGTTTCAGGGTGCTTGAGGGACTCTGAAGAATCAGGGGGGCAAAAGGGCTTGCTAAGTGTCAGGGTTTCTGAATAGATGAGAATTATCATGGAGGGAAATTGGGATATTTCCTCTGCAAAGAATTGAGTCAACTGCCTCCCTCCCAGATATTCCACCCAAAACCGCGGAGCCCCGAGCTGGTCCCTGGTTGGATGCTCCGGCTGGCTCTGCGTGGTGTCAACAGCAAGAGTTGACTTCACTTGCTGGCCAGTCTCCCAGGGCCTGCAGCTACTTCCCTGGAGTCTCCAGGGGTGTGACACACCAAGGAAGCTATTTCGGCCTGGTCTTCCCCAGAAGAGGAAGCAGCTGACCACCATGGAGGGAGGAGCATGTCCTCGGCCGCTTGCTGGAGAGGCACCTGGGGGGTGGAGCCCAGGAGGAGAATACACTCCAGAGCCAGGGCTGGTGTGTGGGAAGGTGGCCCAGGCAGTGTCCAGAGGTGGCTGAGAAGAGACTGGTCACTGTCCTGGCCACCAGCCCTACTAGAGATGAATCCTCACGGTGGCAGGCTTGGGATGCTCTTGAAGGAACTCTTGCCCTGTCTGTTGTGCTGGCCATGGAGAGTGGCCTCTCACCCCAGGTGAAGGGTCAGAGGAAGAAGATGCCCAGTGGGGAAGTCAGCTCCAGATCACTGTGGTGAAGTCAGGTCATATAGCCCCAAACAGCTTCTCTCCAAGTGGCTCTACTTGGAAAGCCTTTTCTTCCTTTCAGCTTGCTCCTCCTGCCAGGCCACCTCTTGCACTGATCTCTGCTTGGCTTCTGGGCCTGCACAGACTCCCAGGCACACTTGCCTAAGCTCTTACAGCTTCCCCTGTTTCCTCCTTTGGCCTTAGGCACATCTGAGTCAATCCTGCTACCTACCTTTGTGCTGAGAGCCCATTTCTTATATGGATGGAGAGCTTTGAGGACATCCCTCCAACCAGCGTAGACTGAACTTCGTCTACTTGCCGGGTCTGAATGCCACTTCTTGGTGGTTGATTGGCAGCCCAAGGGCCCCCTCTGACCAAGCGATGCCCTCACTGAGTGGGATCAGGGTCTAGGGGCATCTGGTGCTTACTGTGTTCCCTCTGTCTCCCTTCCCAGGATGAGCAGAAGTGTGTGGAGACAGTGGAGCTGGGCAGCTATGAGAAGTGCCAGGACCTTCGTGCCCTCCTCAAGCGGAAGCATCGCTTTATCCTGTTGCGGTCCCCGGGGAACAAGGTAGGGCTAAGCCCGCTGCTGGCTGACCTCCCTCCAGGCCAGGGTCTGCTGGGGAAGGTCACCCTGGAAGGGTCTCGAAACAGTCTGGGCCCGTGGATACAAGCCTGCCGGGTCTCTGTTCAATGTGGTGGAGGCTCAGACCCAGGTTCGGCTGTGGGTGGGACCTTTGGCTTGTTTTGGTCTTGGAGCCCCCAGCCCCTGGTTGATAGAGGTGCATTTAGGGCTCTGCTGAGAGCTCCACTCCCATCTCCCCTTCTAGGCCCTGGGGTCCACGTTCCCAGGCTGTAGTTGGAAAGTAGTGTTTGGGAGGTGGGCCCTTGGCATTCTCCCACCGCCTGGACACGGGAGACCAGGGGCTGAGGCAGGAAGGCTAGGGATGATGTCTTCACCCCACCAGGCCTCGGCACCATGCCATAGTTAGGCAACCACACCCTTCCTTCATCCCAGGCCTTCCTGGGTGGGCCACCCCTCCTACCTTCCATCCTAGCTTCAATGCTTGGACCCACAGCTGCAGCTTTCCTCTGTTCGCATTGTCCTTGCTTGGCTGAAGCTGGAGGAAGTCTCTTGCCCAAGAGGTTCATTCCCTGGGACAGGCTGTGTATGTGGACAGAGTTTGCTGTTTGCACCCCTCATCTCTGGCAGGGAGTCCGGGTGGGTGTTGCCACGTGGCAGAGTTTCACAGATGTCAGGAGGGAGATCAGCTTGGAGGCTGGTGTACACAGTGCTGCTCGCCAGCTCGCGCCCATCTGCAGCTGGGCCGTGCTCACCCCAGCTTCTGCTCATCATGTGGAGCCTCACAGAGAGGGGCTGAGTCACAGAAGCTGGGGGCTGGGGAGCGGGCCTGGTCTGGGCTTGCCCCAGGTCATTATGATTCTCTCGTAGCTTTAAGGGCCAGGAGCCTAGTCCTCTATGGTCCCCAGGGGGAGACCATGATGGCTTGACTCAATAACCTTCTGTCCCACTCAGTGGTAGGTGGACGCAAGGAAGCATGGAGCTCTGATCCTGGGGATGGGGTTGTTCCAAGGTCAGGAGCAGGTTTCACTTGACTTCTGCTGCTTACGGAAGATGGGGAGAGCAACCATATTTTGGTCTTTCAGGCCCTAGAACCCCCACCCTGTTCTGGAGGCATGCTTTCCCTCTGAGTGGTGCTGTATTTGTGTGTGTGTGTTTGGGAGACATGTAGAGTGCGCTGTGTGTGAAGGCTGGCCTGTGTGCCTGAGGCCCGTGTGCGCGCTTCTGTGTGCAGGAGAGTGTTCACCTGACCCAGGGGTTGTCTGCGTCTGTGTGTCCCTCGTTGAGCACCTGTGGATGTGGGCGGAGAGGTCTTGCTTCTCTGTCCTCTGCCAGTGCCATTCTGTGGACCACCTCGTTTCTCTGAAAACCAGCTGATGGTGGGCTAGATGGTTAGGGCCCCACTCAGGGTGAGACATCACCTTCCAAGTAAGCGGCCTGTTTGTGCAGCTGCATTGTCAGCTGCTTCGCCCAACACCTTCCCTTTCGTCCTCCAGTCAAGTTGGGGAGATGGGGCTGTGGAGTGATTGGTAGGGACTGCTGGGTAGCGGGAACACAGCCTACCTTGGTTTCAGCTCAAGGGCCCCCGACCCTCGGTACCCCAGGAGCTCACACAGAGAGTGGGGGCTCTCCAGAGATCAGATGGTGGACTGCACAGAGCACCGCTTCCCCGCCCCCAGCTCCCCCGCATCCTCTCACCCTCCTTTCCTATCGCCTTGGGTGTTCCCATCCTCAGTGAGGCCACAGGCTGGCCAGGAGGTCACATGACCCCGGCTGTCTGGTCCTGAGGCCGCCTTTTTTTCCCTCTAATCAAATAAACAAAGACTCCAGTGTCTTGCATGCCCCTCTCCCTCCTGCCTCCCCATCCCCACACCCCTGCCATGAGGTCACAGGCAGACGCTGCCAGGAAGCAGGGTGGCCTCTGCTGGGCCTTGCTGCCCTGCTGGTTTCAGCCAGCTTGGCCCTTTCCTCTTTCCTGCCTCCTCTCTCCCCCTCCCACCTCTTTCCTCTCTGCCATTTTGTCCTCCCCCCTTTCCCAGCCAAGTGGGCCTTCTCTGTGTCCAGTCCTGTTAGCGTCTAAATTCCTGGCGGGGCCTGTGCACTGGAGCTTCTTGGGAAGGCTTGGGGAGGGACCATCGGTGCAGCCTGTGGCTCTTCAGGATGTGGGGTGGGGGTGGGGCAAGAGGAGCAACTTCTTGGTTTTCTGTCTGTCCCTATTCTGATCACCCTTCTAATTGTCCCTATTCTGATGCCTAGTTCATTCAGGCAGGTGGGGCTGGATCCTGTATATCTTTGTATTCCCTCTCCTGGGGAACCCCTGGGCCGGCACACTCCCCCCAGCCTGCTTAGGTGGGCTGGCCAATGGGAAAGAGTTACAGTTTGGGTTGGGTGCAGTGGTTGGATTTTTTGTCCCATTGAGGCCCCAATTAGTAAAGAGACCCTTGCAGTTCTCATTGCAGGTTAGTGGGACTAGAACTCTGATGTTGACTCCTTGGTCAGTGTTCATTCTCTGCCCCACTCTTGCTGCATCTTTTTCTGAGTTCAGGTGTATGCCTCTCAAGCTGTCAGGTATGCTAAGTCCTGCACCAGGCAGGGGCCCCAGCCCACTGACTCTGGGCCTGCAAGCGGAGGCAGTAGTGGGCTGATGGGCTGCCTGGGGCCAGCGTACTTGCAAACCCCATCAAAGGGTGGAGTGGGCCCTTTCAGAGCTCAGATGCAGTGCTGTCCCTTCCTGAGCCACGAGCAGCCCTGATGGCTGGGCTGAGGCAGTTGCCAAGGTGCCCTGGGGTTTCCGACTTAGCTGCCGATCTCCTGCCAGGATCGAATTTACCCTGGTCATGCAAATGAGCATTTGGCTGTGCCTGGTGTGGGGAGGTGGGTGGGACCAGGGCCCTGTATGAGGAGAACTCAGAGGCAGCCAGGAGGAAGTTATATAACGAGGATGCTGAGGGGGCCAGGCGGGCCGTGTGTTACATAACCAGGAGACCGGCAGGAGGGAAGGCACAATCTAACACCCGGGTGGGGATGGGCAGCTGGTGACCTGCCCGACAAAGAACTAGGGCATCTCGAGGTCAGAGAGTAGGCAGAGGCCCCAAAACGGGAACCAAGGGCCAGCTCATTCATTGATGAGCTGTTCATTCAGTAACTACTTACTGAGTACCCAGTATGTGCCAGGCCCTGGCTTTGTTGTTATTTAGTTGCTAAGTCTTGTCCATCTCTTGTGTGACTCCATGGACTGTAGTGAACCAGGCTCCTCTGTCCATGGGATTTCCCAGTGAGTTGCCATTTCCTCCTCCAGGGGTCCTCCTGACCCAGGGATCGAACCCGCGTTACCTGCATTGGCAGGCGGATTCTTTACCACTGAGTCACCAGGGTGTTCAGTTCCCTCCGCATTGCTTTGTAGTAGGCAGTGGCATCCCTTTTTCCAGATACGGAAACTAGGACTGTTTTGTGCAGGAAAGAAATGGTGACAATTCCTATGACTGAGCACCCTGTCTGTGCCCACTTCCACATTTAACACTTTGCTACATTATTGATCTTCACAGCTCCCTGAAGTTCAGGGTCAGCCAGCTGTGAGTGCTGGTCTGTCCAGCTCAGGGGCCCTACTGCTGTGTCCGCCATGGGGGGCAGCTCCTCAGTTTGTGTGGCTTCACTCCTTCCACTATTTCCTGTCTGACCTTGGGGCCTGGCCAGGAGGGGCCTCTCTGAGCTGCCTTCTGATTCTAATGTAGGAGCTTGGAGCTCCTGCCTGAGGTGGGAAGAGACTCGTGGGTGAGGGGGGATGTGAAGTTGAGTCATGGGATTACTTCAGGCTGCCTTGACCAAGTCCCGTCCCTCTGACAAGCCTCATCTACATGATGAGGGGGCTGAAATGGACCCCCTAATGCCCTTTCTCTCTTTCTGTCCATGACTCAAGGCCAGAAAGGAGACCCTGGGACCTTTTCACTTGGCCAGGACTAGGTGTGGGGTCCCTGGGCAGCTGTAGGTGGCCCTTGTTCTAGTAGGCCTTCTCTGGTGGCCACCCCTCACGCCTGTCACCTGTGCCATTGTACTCAGTCTGGCAGATGTAGACTGGGACTATATTCCTACTTCACAGAGAAGTCTCAGAGGTCAGGCTGCAGTCTGGGGGAGTCACAGAGGGTGAGACCAGATCTGGGCAAGGCCGATTTGAATCCAGATCCCTGGCAGCTGTATCCATGGAGAGGGCCCCTTCTCTGATGGGTCTGTCTCTTCCCTTGCTCTGGAGCCCCCGTGTGAGACCTGATATGGGGGTCATTTTGATTTGCTTCTGACCAGCTGTGGGAAGGCAGACTTCAGGCTATGGTGGGAAGTTTCCTTAAGACCCCAAGTGTGAACCCTTATAAACGTCTGCCATTCATCACACCCATGCCTGTTGCAGGTCAGTGACATCAAGTTCCAGGCTCCCAGTGGGGAGGAGAAGGAATCCTGGATCAAAGCCCTCAACGAAGGAATCAACCGAGGCAAGAACAAGGCTTTCGATGAGGTGCGATGCAGCCCTCTGGACTGCTCTGGGTCTCTTTTCCCTCCATATGTGATCTCAGAGTGAACCCTGCCCCCCGCCCCAGACAACCCCTTGATTATGTCACTGCTACAAACACTGGGGTACCTGCTGTTGTTACCTCATTTAATCCTCACAACACACTTCAAAGTAAGTGTCTGTATTCCCATATTACAGATGAGGAAACTGAGGTGTAAGGAAATTTAAGTATGTGTTTTTAAATTAAAACATGGGTAGAATTTAACTGGTTGCAACTGTGCTTCCTTTCCAACCCAGATCCAGCCATAGCAGCAGGTGAGCCCAGGGCTGAGAGGTCTGGGGTGAGCTGAGAGCCTGACGGCTCACTCTTCAGCTGGGCCGTGAAGTCCGAGTTTGGCTGGCTATAGGCCAGGCCCTCCTTACCTGTCTGCAGTGGCCATCCAGTCCCCTGTCTGTAGTGGTGATGCCAGCAGGGCTGTGATCGGGCTCTGGGCAGGAAGGGTGTCCCACGGGACCAGATCTCCTAGGGAGGGTTTATCTTTGACTAAATTCATAGCTATTTGGGCTAAAATGGACCTGGGGCCACCTAGAGTGACCCTTTGGCAGAAGACTGAGGTTGATGGGGGACGAATTCTCCCAGGCAAGTTCCCTCTTAACACCCAGGTTCCCTTACTGGCAGCCATGGCTCCCAGGTCACGTCTTATGTGACTGTGTCATATTCAGCCCTTCACTAGTTTGGTAAAGTGTCCCCGTTTCATGGGAGAGGATGTTGGAGGCCACAGGAGCATGGCCTGGGCCTCAGCCGACAGCCTTGATGGAGCAGGACCAGCTGCTTCACTGCAAAGACCCCCAGGTGGGCCTGAGTCTCACCTCTGGGGAGAAGAGTCTTAGAATACCCCCATCACAGGGACCAGCTGCGCTGGGATTCAGTCTGGATTTCCCACATGACTCTCACTGTGGCTTCCCCGCTACTCCTTTCCCACATTCCTCACCTTCAGAGAGGGTGCCCTCCAGGCTTCCTGACCCAGGGGGAGTAGAGTCCCTGGTCTTTCTTGAGCTTTCTTTCAGGATCCTCAGGGGCCCTGGGAGAGTGACTCGGGCCAGGGAAGGCCTTTTCTGGAAGCCAGGTACTAGGGGATCTTGGGCTGAATCCTCCCCACTCCCCCCAGCTAAGCTCGAAAACAGCCACAGGGCTGCTTATATATTTGCAGTGGACTGAGAGATGAGGGCTGATAGCCTGCGTTGGGGCAGGAAGACTGAGGCACAGAGGGCAGCTGCAGAAGAGGGAGAGCCTTAGATTGCAGAGAGACGACAAAGGCCGTGTAGAGACAGGGTTAGAAAAGCAGAGACCTGGACGTAGGGAGAGGCCTCAAAGAGAGAGACAGCGTGGGGCACTTGACCCTGTCAAGCAAGGAGGAGGTGCTGACCCCACCTCTGAGTCAGATCATCACCTGGGCATTTCTTCCCCTCCCCAAGGCTGGGTGGGGACTGACACGGTTTCCTCGTTCCCAGGTCAAGGTGGACAAGAGCTGTGTCCTGGAGCATGTGACGCGGGACCGCGTACGCAGGGACCAGCGGCGCCGGCCCCCTACGAGAGTCCACCTCAAGGAGGTAAGGCCTGCCCCCAGCTTGGAAGGGTTGGGGGTCAGCTGAGCCTGGGACTGCAGCTGCTTAGGTGGCAGAGGGCTGGGGGCCAGCTTGTCCCTAAGTGCTCTTGGCGTCAGGCTGAGCTGACCCTTGCGGCACAGGAAAGGTTTCAGTGGGGAGACTCGGAGTGAGCGAGGTCCTGGGTGTAGGGAATGGTGTGAGTTTGAGGCCCCAGCAGGGGAGAAGGTGTGCTCCATCCCTTTGATTGGGAGATGGTATGGGAGGGTGGGGTTGGGGGAGGAAATTGTGGAGGTCTTGAAAGCAGGATTTGGGGGCAGGTTGGATGGAAGGGTGCGTTCCAGATGTCAGTTGGAGGCCCTGGTAGTATGGGGTAGGTTGATGTAGAGAAAGGCAGGGGGCCAGGAAATAGAGGCAGAGGTAGGGCCTCCAGGCTCCAGGAGGGGTGAAAAGGGAGGGACCAGTGGGAGAGACACTGGGCAGCAAGGGCCACCTGGGCTTGTGTCTGAATTCAGGGCTCAGGGAGGCAGATGGACACAGAGGGAGGGTTGTCAGAGCGCCCCCATGCCTGGAGACCCGGGCGTGGGAGGGGGAAGGACGCAGGAGGCCCTGGACACAAGGAATTGGGGAGAAGTTATGGCCGGGCGGGGGGGAAGGGAGGAGTCCTTCCTCAGACCATTGTTACTGATGGGGGTAGATGGTGGGGGGAGAGATCTTGGAGGACAGCAAAGAACCTCAGCAGATGTTACCTTTGAGGAATGAGGGGCACAGGGAGCTGAGGAAGAGGAAGCCTGAGAGGGGTGCATTCCAGAGAAGGGCACTGGACCGTGGGTCATCAGCCAGGTTGGCAGCCACAAGTCATGGGGCAGGACTGGGGGAAAGGCAGATGGTGATGATTCCAGCACATTTTCTCAGAGAAGGAGTCGGCTTTGGGCTGTCATGGCGTGCAGAGCTGGGGGTGCTGGTGCGAAGGAGACCATGGCGGGGAAGGAGGGAGACAGAAGGGGGTCTAGGCCATTGGATGGTTTGCTTTTGAGGTGAGACAGCCTGTTCATGTCTGTCAGCTGAGGAAAACGTCCTGCAGAGGGAGTGACTGAAGCAGTCAGAGAGGAAAGGCACGTCTGAGGGAGGAAGCCTGGGAGCTATGGGGAGGGCCAGCCTTGGAGAGGGGGACCCTCTGAGAAGAATTTAGGGAGGGACTCGTGTCTAATGACTGAGTACATGTATAGGCCTGGTCACCCTTTGAGTGTGAAAGGGAGTGAAGACCTTGAGGGACCTCGGGCAAGGGGCCTCCTGCACAGTCCCACTCCAGGCCCTCTGAGGAGGTGTCCCCATGACCTTGGGGCTGCTGGGTGTCCCTGTGGGCCCCTGGGGCCAGGTGGGGACAGCTGCCTGCTGGGTGCAGCTGTTCTCCTCTGGCGGTCAGCTGTGGTCTTGGGCTGCCCATGTCTGGGGCCACGTGTGATGACATAAGGAGAATGGGCACTGGCTGCTGAGCAGCTGGGCAGGGGAAGGCTGGAGAGTTCTGACCCCGAGGGCTGGCCGGCTGGACAGAAGTCTCCGCGGTGAATGAGCGCAGGGTGATGCAGGAGACTCGTGTGTGAGATCTGATCCTGTCGCCTGCTGGGTGGGTGGTTGCAGAGAAGGGACCCTCCCAAGGCCTACAGCCAACTAGGGGGCTAAAATAGGGCTGGAAAGCATGTTCCCTGCCACCCAGGCTAGCACAGTTGCCATTCAAAAGAGCAGCCTATTATACAGGCTGGAAGAAGCCAGGCTGAGGCCTGAGAGGACTCAGGGTTCTGGCTTCCTGGCCTGTGATTCCAAAACCATGAATTTTATGGAAGTGAGGGAGATGAGAGGATTCATCAGAGAATCACTTTAGCTCCTAATCAGGTGGCTTTGGAAGCCAGAGCAGAGGGCATGGATGGTGTGGGAGGCCAGGGGCATGGGAAGCCTGGATGAGACGACTTGAGTACTCTTGTAGGTGGGCACAGCTGACCCAGTGGCCGGTCATCCAAGTTGATGCCATGTCCTGCCCCTGTAGGTAGCCAATGCTGCATCTGATGGGCTTTTGCGTCTGGACCTCGATGTTCTGAACAGCGGGCCGCCAGTGTTAGCCCCTAGCAATGATGTCGATGCAGCCCAGCCCCGGGAGACACCCCGGCCGCCCATGCCTCCTGCCAAGCCGTCCCCAGCGCCTGAGACCAGCAGTGCTGGTGACAGAATGGAGACTCCTGTGGGGCAGAGCGCCCCTACCCCTGTCCCAGCAAGCACTGAGGCCCACCCTGAAAGCCGAGAAGACTCGGAGACTCCAGTGGTGGAGGACAGTGACTCTGAGCAGCCCCCCAGCAGGATGCTGCCTGACAAGCTGAAGGTGAGCTGGGAGAACCCCAGCCCTGAGGAGGCCCCTGACTCTGAGAGTGCAGAACCACCCCAGGAGTCGGGTGCTGAGACTTCTGAGGCTGGGCCCAGGGAGGGTGGGAAGCCCCCTACCCCCCCGCCCAAGATCTTATCGGAGAAACTGAAAGCGTCCATGAGTGGCGTGGAGGCTTCTGGGCCAGCTCAGAGTCCTGGGGCCTCTGAGGCGTCTGCCCCAGGCCCAACAGAGGTCTCAGTGAATGGTGTGGATGACAGTCCTGAGCCCCTCCAGTCATCCCAGGCTGCAGGCCCCCCAGGAACTCCCCCAAAGGCTGCAACGACATCCACTGCCCTGCCCCCCTGGGACCCGCAACCTCAATTCCATCCCCGCTGCTCCTCCCTGGGGGACCTGCTGGGGGAAGGCCCCCGACGTCGGCGGCAGCCTGGGGAGCAGCTGCATCGGGCTCAGCTGGAGGTGAAGGTGGCCTCAGAAAAGACAGAGAAACTGTTGAACAAGGTGCTGGGCGGTGAGTCGGCCTCCGTGAATGCTGAGACGTTGCTCAGCCAGGCTGTGGAGCAGCTGAGACAGGCCACCCAGGTCCTGCAGGAGATCAGGGATCTGGAAGAGATGAGCCAGGAAGCACCTGGGCTCCGGGAGAAGAGGAGGGAGCTGGTGACCCTCTACAGGAGAAGTGCACCCTAGGGCCTGCCGGGCCAGGGACGTTCCCTGCTGGCCGGCTTAGTCCCTCAGAGCCCAGCCCTGCCGAGAAATGTGCTTCTTCAGGCTGTAGAAGGACCATCAGGCATGTCGGGGTTTGGCCAGGACCTGTAGAGACTCCTGGGATCCTTCCCTCCCTGCCCTGGCCAGAGGTGCCAGGCACCGCCCAGGGCTGCTGTCTGGCTGGGCCTCCAGCTCTGGGCTTGGGCTGGGAGCACACACTCGGGACGTCTGTGCTTGCGTGGTTGTTCCGAACAGCTCCAGGGCCTTGGCACAGTGCTCGGGGTTTCCGGGGGCGGCATCATCTCTACTTCGCGCCCTCAATAGTTTACATTCCTGACTTCTGAATAGAGCACAGCTGAGCCCCCCTGCAGCCTCCATGGCCAGATGTTCCCAGGCAAAGCCTCATGGCAGAGGCAGCTTCAAGCCATAACTGACCTTCCCCACCCACCTCTTCCCAGAAGTGGCTAGGGCCTCTGGTCTAGACCAGAGGTTCGGCCTTCAGTTGAGTGTGACCTGGATCCCAGCCGGGGCCTCTGAAGGCAGGTGGGAGGCATCTGTATGAGAAAGCCATTAGCTATGTGGCCCCTCCCTGGGCCCGTTTCCTATTCTACAGGCCTTCCCCTCTGGTGCGCCAGGCTTGGTGGACTCCAGGGTGGAGGAGGAACTCGAAGGGTCTCGAAGTCTCTTCCCTGCCCCTGGACCAGCTTGGGTCCAGCCTTGCACATTCCGGTTCAGGTGAACCTGATGTCAGCATCAGAAAATCCTGTATGTAATTCATTATAAATCAACATTCAGGAGTGAAGCTGCCCCAACTTCTGTGCTTCCCAGATGGGATTTATATCTGGGTCTCTGGTTTCTTCTCAACCCAGACAGGTCCAGTATCCCAGTTATTTCTTCAAATGCTGATGAGAGCTCTTGGGCCTGAAATCACTTCCCTCTCCCCCTTCCCCTCCTCCCATGGCTCCGGGTCCACATGGACTGCTCCTCCTGAACTTCCTTGTGGAAGGAGCTTTATCACCTATCCCTTTCCTGGTCCTTCCCGTCCCTACCCCTTCCCTGCAATATCATCTCTGGCTCCGGAGCACATCCGGTCTGTCCTGCTGCAGCGGCTGGACTGAGGACAGGGTCTGTAAGGTGCAGAGGCTCTGAGGGCCACAGCCGCTCCCTGGGGCCTGTGGGAGTAGGAGCAGCTTCCAACAGGCTTGCTCAGGGGTTTCTGCAAGTGCACTTTTGTTTACTGAAAGAGAGGGAGGCTCACAGCTGCATGCTTTGGCCTTCCTGCCCATTGCCCCACCCCCAGCCTCTAGTCATGCCCACTGAGGCCTGCAGGTGCAGGTCCCGGCCTTCTTTACTCTGCTTCTACTTGGTTCTTGAGGGTAGTGGCAGGTATCAGGAGGGGCACGTGTCTGCTCTGCGGCCTGACTGGGCAGGGGTGTGGGCGAGCAGCAGTGTCATGACTCATGAGCCCCCATTGGCCTCCCTAAACCACACTCCTTGAACAGACTAGGCTCCCAGACCTAGCCTGTGTGAGGTTTCCTCATACATCAAATTACATCAAGGTCCACCCATCTCTCCATATGTCTCCAATATGAGAGCAAGAATGTCACCAGGGGCCCACCTTCATGTAGCCCCCTGTAGTCTTCTTTGGGGAACAGCCTTCCCTCACCAGCCACCTTGGTTGGGTGAGGCATTCACCAAGTCACATCCTTCCTGGGACTAGAGCCTCAGTTTCCTGCTCTGATAAGTGACCAGGTTGAGCAAGCAGCATTGGGGTCACCTCAGTGGCTTGATGCCATTGTTTCCTATGGGATGCCTGTGCCTTGGCAGCCTGGACACATGGGGGACTCCAGCTTCCAGGAAAGGGGAGGAGGATCCGGAATATGCAGGGGCTGCCTGACTGGCCTCCTGGAGGAGGATGGCATTCCATGTCTTCTGCTTGTGAAGCGCCTTTCTTGAAATTTGGCAATAAATCCCTTTTTATGGAACTTCTCTGCCGCAAGCCTGTTTGTTGATGTGGAGACCAGCTCCAGGGCCTCATGGAAGCAGAGGATAGTTGGTGGTTGATGAGGCCATCACCGGTCCTCCAAACTCTTTTCCAGGGCCCCCTTCTCATAGGCCAGGCTGGGGGGGCTCACCTTCTCACAGTGCTCCATCTTCGCTAAACTTGATCTGGCCTTGAAGTCTCACCCCTTCTATCCAGCATGTTTGTACAGCCTGAGGGCTAAGTACCATAGGGAACAGTACTTTTCAGTTTTTAAAAAGTTTATTTGGAAACAATTTCAAACACAGAGAAACACAGCAAGAGTAAGTACAGTACAAAGAACACCTGTATACTGAGGTTGACCTGTTGGCTTATCTTTTGAGTGCCTTTTTTTTGTTATAGATGTACAGTTCTTTTTTGGAGTCTTTGGAGAATTAGTTATCATGGCCCTTTTCCTCTAAATACTTCAGTGTGTATTTCCTAAAAATAAACTATTCTATTATTAATCATAGTACAGTTAGCAACTTCAGGAAATTTAACATGGATAGAATACCGTTCATATTCTGGTTTTATCATTAGACCCATTAATATCCTTTAATCATATGTTGCCTCAAGGGTAGGGTTGAATATTGCATAAATGTCCCTTTTAGTCTTATTTAATTTGAAATATTTTCACAGCTTCTATTTTTCATGATGTGGTATTTTTGAAGAATACAGTCCTCCCCAGCTTTTTAATAGAATAGTCCTCATTTGGGGTGTGTTGCAGTTTTACATCAAGTTAGATCAAGATCATAGAGTCTCAGCCAGAGAACTGCACAGGTGATGTTAGGTCCTTCTCAGGACATATCTGGAGACAATCTCCATCTGCCCTTCACTGATAATGTTAATTTTGATCACCCAAAGTGTGATCTACAAATTTTTCTACTGTATAGTTACATATTTTTCTCTTGTAACTAATAAGCAATCTGGGAGACATTTAGAGACCATGCACAGGACTTCCCTGGTGGTTCAGTGGTAAAGACTCCGTGCTTCCGTTGCTGGGGCCACTCGTTCGATCCTGGTCAGGGAAATAAGATCCCGCGTGCCACATAGTGCGGCCTAAAAAAAAAAAAAAAGAACCATTCATAAATGTGTTGTATCTCATCAAAATTTCCCTCTAGATCTAGTCTCCACTGATGATTCTTGCCTGAACAGGTATATCCTATGATGGTTCAAAATTATCCCAGCTGTCATTTTAACTTCAGAGCCTGTTCCTGGTTGGGGTGAGCCTGGGACTCACCTGATGCCTGTGGCATCCCTGACATATCTCAGCAGGACCCAGGGCTTTGCTGAGTGCTCTTTAGAAACCCCTGGGCCAGCAGACAGCTCCAAGTCAAGCGACCAAGTCAAGTCAAGCTGCTGGCAAGGTGTCGAATCCCACCAGGGACCTCAGTGAAGCTCAGCCTCTGGAGGCCTCAGTTTCCTCACTCACAAAGGGGATCACAGTGCCACCCACTCCTGATGTGGGAAAGCACTGCAAGTTGTTCCCCAAAGGCCGGCACCCTTCCTTATCTGTGAGGGCTGCTGAACAGGCCTGGTGGTCAGCACAACAGGAAGCACCTGACCCGGGACTTACTGACTGTTCTCTGACCTTCGTATTATCCCTCAGGAATTCCCCTGCCACTGGCCTGACGTGTGTCCACCATACCAAGTGGGTGGCCTGCAGAAGCAGGGGGACCCCAGGCGAATCAGTTCACTTCATCTGCGAGGGAGGTGAGGGAGAGAAGTCCCTTTATTGACGGGGGTGTGCCCCAACCCTGGCCCAGGAACAAGGTCTCCTCCTGAGGGCCGCCTTGAAGGGAGCGGCTGCCGGGAAGGTGTCAGTGGCCAGCCAGCCGCAAGACTGAGGAAGGATGTGGTGAGAACTTTCTTTCCTCCTGGCCCTGGGGGCAGGAGTCCTGTGCAGAGAAGCGGAGGCTTTTTCTTCTAAATACGAGTCCTGGTATCTCTGGTCTGAAGCCCTGTGGGGTTGCAAACCACAGATGGCTGCCTTCAAGCAGGACTCAGGACAGAGGGGGAGGATCAGGTGGGGAAGGGGACATCCAGAGTGCCCGTGCCTCTGGTCCCACCTGAGCCAGAGCCCTGGAACCTCCCTGTGTCTTTCTGGAGCCACCATATTTTGTGTCCCCCCAATCTTGTGTTCCTGCCTCCCCACCTTCCTGACCCTTCTCTCCTATCCCAGACAGGAGACATGTCAGAGACATGAGGCAGGGCTGTCAGAAAAAAAAGACCTCATGAACTCACTCAAGTGGAGGTTTCTGAGACATTACCGGGAGGCTCTGTGGGGGGACATGGAGGGTGGAGAGGTCATGGTAGAATTCTGGCCTGTTGTCATAATTTTATTAAAGGAACAAAGTTCCTGGAGGAAATAGCAGGGTGTAAGTAGAAAAATATGACTTTAGATTTAGAGGCAGACACATCTAGATTCAAATTCTAGCCATGAATGAATTTACCTTAGGTAAAGCAATTTACCTGAGGTAAAGCCATTTACCTTAGGTAAAATGTGCCTGTTTTTCCTGTTTGTCAGATGGGCTAATCTCCCTCTTCACAGGATTATTGTGGAACACGTAGCCCATGGTCTGCCTCACAGAAAACGAGGTTAATAAACGTCAGCAGCCCAGCCTCACAGAGCCCCTGCTGATTGGCAGGCCTGTTCTGGTCTCTCACTGTCACAGTGGCCTCATGAGGAAGATTTCTGTTCAGTCCATTTACAGGTTAGGAAACTGAGACTTAACTTGCCTAGGAGACCACAAGTTAAGCATCAGGACCCGGGATTCCACACCCTAGGTTCTGGGCCTGGGGTGACAATCAACTGCTTCCTGTTTCTTCTCTGGAGAGTCTGTGACTGCCGATGGATGCTCAGCCCAGGGAAATTCTGGCCAGCTTGGGACATCCCCACCTTTCCTGGCCCCCAAAGGATACCCCGAGACTGGTCTGGCTCTCCACCAGCCAGCCAGGGCCC